ACCAAAGGGTTTGTCTAAATAATATACATAATATCCAGTCAAATGATATTTATTAATAAGGTTACAGTAATATTGCTAAAAAAAAACTCAATGTGATTTTTATAATGAAGAAAATTATCTTATCCACATCAGTTCACTAATATACTTTTGAATTCAAATGAAAAATATTACAAATAATGCATGACAAATACCAATATAGTTAAAGAACAAACCACAGGATGTTGGAATTTAAGTAAAAATACAAATGGGTAAACTAGTACACCAACGAAACTGTACATTTCTTCTGATATAAAATTTTAATAAGATTTATATCTGTGATCTCTGATTTATTAACAACGGAGATGTCAAAATATTTCTGAATGCATTAAAAACCAATGCTATGGTTGAATCTACAGATGATAATCTAATTTTTGAAAATGATTAGTTAAAATAACTGTTATAATAGTTACATGTGCTGTTTGAGAAACATGATTGGCAAGAAGGCATAATATGAAAGGTTTTTAATAGCAGACATCTTGCCTTGAATATTATGTTATGACATACTATAATATTCAAGCCAAGACGTCAGATAGTAAAAACGTTCTTAGATATACTGGTAAATTTAAATATTCTCACTTACTATTAAGTTCTCAGAATCCATAAATATATCTTAAAACAAAAATTTTATAATGAAATGAATATTTCACACTAAACATATGAATGCAAGGTATATAGTTAAATGTATAAATATGGCACTAATTAGTATTAATATAATGTTTACTTTATATAGCTATCAGCCAAGTTATATGAACTTACATCAGCAACATAAAACATATACACAGTGGAATACATAAATAACCACAAACATTCCAGAACAAGCACAACTTGAGACATGACTCCATAAATAATATATATATATATATATTTCAGGAAACATACAAGAAGAAAATCCAGTGCAATAAAGGTTTCTTTCCTTCCCACAATATCTTAATATAACACCTTTACAAGCAAATCAAATCCTAAAAGACATACCATTAGTGAACTTTATCAAAGACTTGCTTAATGACATAAACAGATAAGTCTTCAAGTTAAATATGGCACTGATGTGGTAGCACAACATACAATATCACTGTGGTCCCTATATAACCAGGCACAATGCTTCTTTTGGGACACAGTATTAGACATATGGTCAATTAAGTAGAAAGAAGTAAATGATGCAAAATATCTTAAACATTTTTTTCTAAAAAACTGAACAAAATGACAGCGTAAAAACTTGACTTATAATAAATAAATGTATAGTCTAGGGTTTGATGCATATGTAACTACTGTACCATATACCACATTTACTCAAAATATGAACACTTACTACATTGCATAATTCAACTGGAGGGACATCTAGTACTGTGAAAATAAAACTTTGTTCAGTCTTATTATTTTTCTTTTAACTTTCAACATTGAGAAACACAATGACCACACCAATTTCTACAAAAAAACATCTGATAGAACAATATACACAATAAATTCTGACTTTTTTTTTTGCCTAACATCTTGTTACAAACTACAAGAGCATTGCAAAGTGTAACCAAAACATAACACATATACAGAGACAAACTAATAAACTGTGCGAAGAGAACCGAAATATGATTTAAAATTATAACTGAAACAATGAGAAAACAACAAAACAGATCCCAATAAAATATTTTGTGATGAAAAGTATGAAAGATCAGAGCATTACAACCACAAAAAACAACTAAAAACAATGCTCTGTAAGATTATTATTATTATTTCTAAATATGTACTACATACTATACACTTTCATTCTTGAACTTTACTCACTCTGCACATCATGAAAGTTTTCTAAGAGATTTCCTAGTGGAAACAACATTGGTCCTAACAGACGTTTTCAGAGACTAGAAACATTTCGATCATTTAAATGTGCCCAGTTAAAACTGTTCATGGACACAAGCTATATATATGAAATTAATACTGATACAGAATCAATAAGTTCATCTCTTTCACTGCACTTGACTAACATACTGAGCCATATTATATGAAAAACACTGATACTGTGTAATGTATCATTTATTTCACAAGCTATTGTAATCAGAGATGATACACAAGTACAATTAAACATTTTTAAAGTAGATGTCAAAATAAAATTTGTTGCTTTTAAAACATTTAGAGTTGTTTTGTGTTTATTTTTGCAATTATGTAATACACTATATAAGTATACTAATCAGAAAATACTCTGTCAACACAAAGTTACATATATGAGAATGTGCTCATTTTGCTCATCATTTCTAAAATCCATCCAGTGCAGTGTCCTGTTGTGTAATATTGGTTAAAAAGTAGGTACTATATTATCTATTAAACTTACTTGATCTACACATGTTCTGTGTTACATTAGGTACGTAACTGGCTTCATAGTCTTACAAATGCTACTCTTAGCCTTGTACACTGTACCCTTCAGGCTTTACATGCCAATAAAGCTTAACTTGAAAAAAAAATATCATCAGTATATGTATCTATAATGATATTCACAACAAGGCAATCAGTGTATTTTAAAGTATGTTATAGCTTCTAGAGAATAAAGTTTGAAATTTCAAGATAAAGATTCAGTGATCAACATTATAAAATAATAAAAACTATGATTTATTAGTAACATAAAGTTTGGCCTTGAGTCTTCTTTAGGTGCGTACACTAAACTAGCTACAATGAAGAAAGCTCAAGGCTGAAATTTGTGTTACTAATAAATCATAACTTTTATTATTTTATTGTGAGTGCTGATCATTGAATCTCTATCTCAAACTGTAAAACAGTGTCTACTTGTAGAATAATTCCTATCAAATTAAAGAAAGAATAGTTAATGTTCCATTAATACCCACTACAGACCAAATAATATTAGTAAATAATGTAACACAGTACTATTTACCTTTTTTGGAATGCTTTCTCTTTTATACATGAGGGGTGTTCAGAAAGAAACAATATTTTTTTACACATAAGCTTGATATGAGTAAACATTAAAATATCAACACTTCTCAAATGTTAATAGCATTCACAATAGAGGGCATGCTAAACATTTAAATTAGAAGAACTGTAGATGACACTAGGTTTGACTGCTGTTGTAATCAAATTCATGATAAAAGAGGACAAAAAGGATGTGCTCATACACCAACAGTTAAACAACATACACAGTAATGATTCATTATCACATACATAACTGTATGAGTAGTTTCACAAGGAAAACTGTTGCCCAAACAAGCATCAGAGGTGAGCTAAAGTTAGAATGGCCACAAACTGCAGTAGCTGATGACAAATTTGTGAGAGTAGACAAGATAAAAAATGAATAGAAGAATCTAGTGATGCCGATTGGGAAGGGGAGGGAGACAGCTGCCCTACCCAAGCCTTAATTTTGTTTTTCAGTTATGTAAAACGTCTGGTTAAGGGGCTGTGTTTATGGGAAATTACTAGAATTAATAAATACAAAGTCAAAATTTCCATATCTTTCGTGTTCTTCGCAACCATCTGATAATATCTTCAGTAATTATTACAGTTGATGCATGAACTCTGAAATGTGCTACATAACAGTTTATGCATTTTGTAGAAATTATGGTTCAACTTTGGCCCCCACGCAAGATCTTGCTGAAATGGCATAACTGGAATAATCCATGTACCTAAACTGGATATCAATAGTAAATCCATGTGAATTATTATCTATAAATACTTGCACAATAGTAAGATGTCTGCACAACGGACTCCAAGAGTTGACATAAAACATCTACAATAAGTTGATATGGCAGCTCATGTCAAAGTGAATAGTTTCTTTAATTGGATTGTTACATATATTCAATATTGGTTGTATTAATGTAAGCCACAAACCAATATCAGATATGATCTACAAGTAGTAAAATCATGTTCTTATTGAACACCCTTCAAACACATGTATTTCTTTGAGGTGAACTTTTTGTTTACAGAACATTAAACATAAAGCTGTCTTTTTTGATTGCCTGTTCTCTTATATATGTTTTGTTGTTCAAAATACATAGCTGGAATCTTACAATTTCACACTATCAAAAATTGCATTCAAGAATAATCAATAAAATTAAATGTCAAATATCTTGCAATATCTCTGCATATCACAGTTAGAAAAGTGTTTCAGTTTCAAAATATATGGCTGTAACATTTTTGCGGTGATTTATTTTTGGAATGTCTATTTGTATTAAAACACCTAGTGAAGGTGTAAGTATTTATATTTAATGTTGCAACATATAAAACTGCAAAGTGGTTAGCAATACGTTTTAATCTAATAATATGAATTGCTATTTATTTTCATTTTAAACAAATAAAATGTGTAAATAATGCTTTTCTACACACACAAAACAAACACGTAAAACACTTGTAGGGACTAATGTATAGGCTGAATTTCTTAGTTTCTTTATGCAATAGAAACTATTTTTGAATTATCTAAAGCACACTTTTTGAGTAAAAAGTAAACAAGATTGAGCTTTGCTCTGAAAAATGGTTTGTTTAAATAAACAAATGCAACTACACACACAGACCAAAATCAAAGTTAGTGATTCCCAGTATAGAATATAAAATACAAAATTATTTTCAATTACAGGTAGGAATACTGCTTCTTACCACAATAAGTATGAATGACTAGAACACATTTGCTTATTACATGTTTGAACAGATCAAAAACATAACTTATATTGATATATTGACAACATAAAATTATTTTTCTTGTGTAGTTTTTTTTAATTTGCTCACATGCTCGAAAACAAGTCTAGTTTTGGCCAGGTTCTACGGATAAATTCAGCAAAAAAGCCAGATTTTGGTGTAGAGTGCTTTGAAGAAGGATCTTTATCCTTTTTGAAAGTTGGGAATCGGCTAGAAGTAGATCTTGAATTCTGATTTGTTTTTTTAACCCAATTATTATGTGGGTGCTTCGGTTCTTTATCATTGGACAATAAGGATGATTTGGCATGACTTTCAGAAGCATTACTACTAGAAGGCATTACCTGAAGTCCTACTTTAATCTTCTTTGTTAGTGCTCCCTCTGGAAAGATAGCCTGGACCTGGGGAACTACTGTAGAACTGACTATTCCTCCCTCAGGTCCAATATTACAGACTTCTTGTCTTACACGACTAACAATAGCAAAATACTGTGGAAAGTCTGTAGTCACAATTCGAGTAATGCAGTCAGCATTAAGATCTTCTAAGGCATTTATTTCTAAAATGAAAAGAGAATTTTTTTAAGCACAAGAACTTTGTCTTTTTTTTAAGTAAAACTGCATTTTTTAAGAGCTCTTAACAATTATAATATCAAAAATAATAAACAAAAATAAATAGTTAAGATTTTACTGAAAGTAGAGTTACCTATAATATAAACACTCAACAATTTTTTTTTAATGGTGGTATTTGTATTTACGTAAAACATGAATAAGTCTTTAGTATCACCTACGTACATGCAAACTGTAAAATCTAATAAATAGCTCTCTTCTACTTTGCCTTGGAAACTTTATGCTAAAAGATATAGTAAAGGGAGAATATTCACATAATTTTAATTTATGAACAATTTAATTTGCATTCTTCTTTTCAGGATAGAGCATATATCTCAGTAAATTTCATAAACATTATAAGAGCAAAACATCCTTATTATAAGATGTAGTAACTTAAAAAAATATTCCCTTGAAATCAAAATTACTTTAAAATAACAAAAATAAAAAGCTGAAATCCACCTTCTCCTTCAAAACTTTCATTCAAGGTATCTTGAACTGCTTCTTCTGTTGCCTCAGTTGTATGCTCTTGCCAGACTTCTCCATTATCACTGCGTAAAATTATTATTTCTCGTTCTTTTCCTCGAAGAGATGTAAAGTGTGGAATTTCAATAATAATAGGCCTATAATGTTCAATAATGTTTTTATAAAAAACATTTTTCCTATATATACAATAACAACTTTATTGAAAATCTATTATCTTGGTATTACCTTTTAAAAAATCTGTTATTTAGAAATTTCTAAAACTGTAAAATTAAAAAATACTGAGTGCCCAGAAAAAAAGTTATTTTAAAATATAAAAGCATGTTCTGTAATATTTTGCAACACAGTGTATGAAAGATAGAACGAAAAGCAACGACACTTCACATGTGAATATTAAACACATAATATAAAGCACTTCTGACAAAAAAAAGTTCTTATTAGCAATGTTATGCCTAAAAATATATTTATTTCATAATTGAATAGAAAATTCTGATAATTATACTACTAATTATGACAATTTCAAGCATGTATACTATATACATACATAAAAAATTATGAAACTTTTGAAATTCTATATATGTAAATCTTAAAAAAAATGTACCCTAAAAACTTGGCCCCAACTGGTCCAACCTCTAAAATTCGTGCAGCGCAAGCTTCTCCTTCCATCAATGGTGGAGGATGGATTAATTTTTCTTTTCTTAAGTAACGACATGTGATTCTCATAGGCATAGAGGCTTTCCGAGGTGGTATTATCACTCTTACACCTGATTGTCGACATCCTCGCATGGCCCCTCCACGAGCATCCACCATAAAGCTGACAAGAAACCTAAATAAACATTCTAAATATGTCAGTAATAACATAAAAACAAGAAACTTGACTAACAACTATAAAATACATCTAGTTTAAATGGTACTAAAAAAAAAGTTGCAGTTCATTTATTAATTATAAAAATTAAACATAATCCAAAGAAAATTGCACTAAAGCATTTACAATTAAATAAATGAATTTTCAACAAAATGAAACTAACACCAAATTTTTCATTTAAATTACTTGCTTTTAAAACAAAAATAATCCTTAAATTTCAATAGGCTTTTTTTAACAAGTATCAATAAATTCAAACTATTTTCACAGGAGTTGAATTGCTCTTATAACTAATGAATAGTGATGTGTTAGAAACTAATACAACATAAAGTATAGGGTAAAGTGTATTTCATTGTCAAATGTTGTTTAACACACAAAGGTTTTTCAGTGCAGAAGAAAACTGATTATGTTTTATATGTACTTTGTTACAGATGTCCACTGATCAGGCTAAAACTTTATCTTAAGAATAAATACAAATATCTAGTAAAAAAAGACATACAATAATCAACTTACATCTTCCATTTCAGCTTGCTAAAAGTTCCAAACAAATAAGGGATTGCACAGGGATAAAAAAAAATACAGGTTAGCTTACAGAATCAATATCTATATTTAAGTAAAATAGCAGTGCAAAATATTTAGCTATGATTCAAAAAGCTAACAGAAGCTGCCAATATAGTCCAAAAACATTCACTCAAGAAAATATGAATGTACAACAATAAATAATAGCAACTGGACAAAACTTTAAGGGTCTTTAAAATAAAAGAAACCCACTTCTAACTCAAAAATGTTAGATGAGGAGTTTTATTTGAAGAAATATTCAGGCCCAAGACAAAAATATAAACACTGATGAATAAAAAATAACAGAAACATTCATAGTTTGTTAATAAAACAATTATTTAATTTTTTATTGTGATATACATGGTATTACAGTTACACAAAATATAATAAACCAGTACAAATAAATCATTAGAGTTAGAATTAAAAATAATAGAATTATTCAGTCAATCAAAAAACACCCAATTTTTTTATTTGATATACATTTCTTGTTAAATAAAAACATAGCAGTATGGTTTACCATAAACAGAATACTATTTCAGTGCTATTTATAACATAAAGTGCAATCTAGTATATATATCAAGTTAGAGATTTAATTTTTAATGTAAACAAATAAATTATACCATGTTTCTTTAGAGAGAGTTTCATAGATATTATAGACTATAATGGTTTATTTTCATTATTATAATTTTCTTTTACTATGTAGATTACAAAAATTATTTCACATTGTTAGCTTAATATATAGACTTTGGACTAATCTACATTTCCTAAGTTGGACAAACCTCATGAGATATTATTAAGATTAAGATTGAAAATATTGTATGCACAGAAGAAGCTGAACCATTGATTCAACCTATTTTAATCATTATACATTCTAGTTTTCTTATGTTTTAATTTATGACATTAAGTGCTTTCAATTTGTCTATTACACAAAACATGCTTCATTAATTTTACAGAACTTTCTAGTTCTAATCAATTCAGTTAGACAACTGTTGATCAGAAGTCTTTAAAAATGCATCAAAGGCACACAAAAATGAAATAAAAATAAAGTACCAAAAATATGTTCAATGTACAAAACCTGTCCTTTTCAAATTAGCAGCAGTTAAGAATATTACTTTTCAGAATTAAAATGTATTTCAAACAGTTACTTATGCCTGAAATACTGTGAGACTTAAGACTTTTCTTGTTTAGCCATTATTGCCCTGACAACAACTGTGCAAGTTTTAGTTAGAAATGTCCTTAATGCAATGCACCATGTCACCTTATCCAAAGTTCTTCATTCTCTCACCTTCCAAGTGACTTTTTGTGCAAGTGCAATGAAAACTACATAAACTTTGCTTTCCCACCACCAGCCAGATTTTCTTTTTTGCAATCTTGATGTCATAAAACACTTGTCCCAGTTGTGGGGAGGTGGGTTGAAAATTATTTCAGATGTAGATATTTAAGTTAATTTTAATTCTCTAAATGTAAAATTCAAATTAGGTAGACTTACTTCTGAAATAATGTAAGCCAGAATATTTGCACTGAGATGGAGGAGAGAATTTAAGAGTGCCACAATAAAAGATAAACAGATAACCAGATGCTAAGCTCTGGAACAGGGAAGGTAACAAAACAAGACCACAAAAAACTGAGAGTTGAGAATAAGAAGACACTGAGAAGAATGTAGAATCCAGTGTGGGGAAAACTCTAAAATGTTAATAAAAAGAAAACATTATTCTGATCAGAGTATTTCTTTGCCCTATAAATAAAATATAAAGGTTATTCAGGAGGTATGGAGATGCCTGGGTAGCAATGCATATTTGGAGGTGTGGTCCCAGAGTTTGGCTAGGCAGGTATCTAGGGTCAGAGTACAAAGCATTGTCCTGAAACTGTTAGTAGAATATCCTCAGTAGAGAATGGGCGTACACTTGGGGCTAAAATCCCTATTATTTGAAAATGAAAAGGCCAGTATAGTCACAAAACCAACTTAGTCAACAGGCATCTCAGAGGAATCTAAAAGAGCCAGGTGTTAACGTGGTTAGAATAAGATCAGAGAAGCCAAATCCAGTCTAACACCTGCGATTCTGGTTCTGAATGCTGCTCAAGCTCTGCTTGTTCTTACTACTTGGTATTGCTGTGGTCTATGTATGTTACTTTTCCTGTACCAGAGCTCAGTATCTGGTGATAATCTGATTGTCTTTTATCATGACACTCTTTCATTCCCTCCTCCATCTCAATGTGGGTATTCTGGCTTACATAATTTCAGAGATAATTCTGATTCAAAGTTTAGATTTAAGAACTAAAATTTATTTCAAGCAGGTATTTACACCTGAAATGCATTCCCAGCCATCTCCCAACAACTTGAATAAATGTGTTTTGATATCATGAATACAGACAAACTGTTAGATATACACAACTGTTCATTTTAAGTTTATATGAGAGTAGTACTTAATTTATATTGTGCAAGTGTTAAAGTAAGTTATTTTTAGAACTGTTTACAAATCATTTGTTGTGTAGTTCAATTGTTGTAAACTGATGTTAAGCTACTTGAACCTTCTGAATTTTTCTTGTTCCTTTAAGTGAGTATTGTTACATCATAATGTCTTGTAATTTGTAGAAAGTTCTAGGCCACAGTTGGGGAATATATATATATATATATATAGGCAACAAAGTTAGTGCAAGTAAGTATGTTAATTAAAGTGAAAGTAAGACAAAGTTAGTGAGAGATATAGTGAAATAGATCTAGACTGTTTTTGTAAGTTTAGCCATAAAGAGTGGATAGTGACGATTTTTAGTGTAATAATCACAGATTGTATTGAAATAACAGAGTAGAGAATAATAATATGTCTTGTCAATTGGGTTCTAAAGTAACTGAAACAGTATGTGTGGACTTTTGACATAAAAGAAAATTATTTAAAGCTCGGGATACAACTGTGGTAAACCATGAGGTAACATAAGTGAATTTTGAATTTAATACTTATTGTATTGCAATAACAGACTAAAGAAGAATTATTCTTGTCAGTTGGGTTCTAAAGAAACTGAACCAGCCTGTAGGGACTCTTGATGAAAAGATGAGTATTTAAAGTTCTGGATACAACTGTGGTGATTAACTGTGTAATGAATATTTGTATATAAATTTGACTTGTTTTTGAATATAATATTTTGAAACAAGTGGATTGTGTGCTCTCTGTTCATTGTTGAAATTTATTGCCAACAAATCACAGACACCTACTGTAAAAAATTCTGCCCACACATATGGAAAAAACTGTCACAAACAAAAAAATCTTGTTTGAGGTACTTGTACAATAAGTCATATGGAAGGAAGGAATTTCATCAAGGGCATTCAGAAACAAAAGTACTGTGGTTGTTGTCAGAGTAAGAACATTTCAACAAGAAAAGCTTACAGAATTTATGAGGTAAATCTACCTGATCTGAAATATATTTATAATTTATAGCTTGTAGGGGATTGCTAATTAAAAAAGGACAGTGCTTTTCTAGCTGATTTAAGCAAGTATTCATGATGAGAAAAAACAAAGGTCAAACAGGTGACAATGCCTAGATCAGAGTGAAAATTGTAGAGAATATATTTTGGAGGACTAAAAGGTCTACAAAGGTAGCACAAGTAGAGTAAATGATGTTTCAAAAGCCTTTTGTCTTTTTATCTTCATCTGTAGGTCAACTTGGCAAGGACTATGATGGACTTATATAGTGTCTGGGTGGATTGAGAAGTGACATTGTGATCTGATGATCATTCTGGATTGTAGCTGGTGGAACATGCAAATGTTGATGTTTCTATGTCTGAGTCTGCATTTAGTGAGAGTTTCAGCATGTTAATGTAGAAAAATTCCATAATCTTTCTTACTTTCCAGAACTTATTTGAGTCAATGACTCTATAACTGTCTTAGTCTACTTTATGTTCCATTAACAATGAATGTTCTGCAATGGAAAAATTCTGTGGTTTTCATCAGTCTCATGCAGTCTTTGTTATTTTATTTTTGCCCCAAAATGTTTTCCTGATTTTCCAATATAGGTCTGTTTACAGGAACACAGTATTTCATAAATGATATTTTTATGTTTGTCGTGAGATGTTTTCTTGTTTAATCTTGACAAGTAGAGATCTGAGTGTACTGTAAGATTTACAGCAAATGTCATCATTGAATTTTCTGAAAACAACACACTAGCCAAAATTTTGTACTGTATTTAAGATTAAATGCATTGTCAATCAGTTCATACATGTATCAAACATTAAAAACATAATGTTTTCAAAACAATTCTAAACAGCCGAAGAACATAAAAATTCAGTCTACAATCATACCATGAAAATATTTCGTGTTTGTATCATAATTTCAAATTCTTCCCTACCTTGCATGAAAAGGACCTCTTGACATATCAATGTTATCTGTAGCATAGCTATCCATATATGTAGTCTCGACATTGTAACTAACATGCATAGGGGAGAGATGGTCTTCCTCTACTGTTAATGGTGCTAGAGAAAAATATAAAATTTTTAACGAGTGTGTGTTTATATACATATATACACACACATTAACTGTCATTATTGTTCAGAACATATATCGCACTGCTGAAAAACTCTGGAAAACCATTATATCAACTCAATTTTACATATTAGTTATATATCAGATAATCATTTATTTACCAATTAATGACTACTGCTGATTAATTGTCGTGGACGTTGCCTACAAGAAGTTCTGTATAAAAATTTAACTATATATGTATATATATATATACTTAATATAAAAACACATCCAACTTTTTTACCACCTTTTTAAAAAATAAATCCTGGCTAATTTGATTGGAAAGGCATTTTCAATTTTTATATTTATACTGAAGAGGTTAGTAAAAACTACTGTCACCAACATTTCATGTTCTTTTTTTTAATAAAAATAATATGTTTTTCGTCAACTTTAAGAAAGTTTCATTAAAACATTATTAATTGACATATTATGAAAGCCTTAAAACATTTAAATGTTTTATATATGGTTCAATAACATACTAAATTTAGGCCACCAATAAATGGATTAATATCTAATCACACCACAAAATATGACTGGGCTGTACCTCATATTGTATCATCCTTGGCTGTACACTAAAAGGGTGAACAGATATCAAGAAAGTATCTTTAACACACGAGGTTTTGTACACAAAGAATTAGGTTGGCTTAAGTACAATGTTGCATAATGGGTTATCTGTGCTATATCCAATGTGACGATCAAACTCTTAATATTATCACTGAACCACTAGAGGACAATAATAAAAAATATAATTTATCTATAAATAAAATAAATCATGTTAATTATGTAATAACTTTCAAATAACTAATTTGAAAATGTTTTTTTTGTATAACTCAAAGATTTGTCGATCCAAAGTAATTTACAAACTCATTGAGAATGGATAAGGTGTGTGAACAAACATATTTGTTATTGTACTTTCAGTTTTTATTATAATATTTTATAGAATACACAATTTTAAATTTCTGTCTTCTTTATAATTATTGTTATTTGTACAGGCATATTCTCAATCAGTTGAAAGTATGGTATCTGCTAGCAAAAGTTATATTACTTAAATAAAGCTGTCAATCTTTAATCTATAAATGAATAAACAACAACATAGGGCTACTTAGTACTGTCTGTTATGGTATATAAATAGTTTCTATTTGATTTCTTACACCAGTTGCTATACATAAATACATTCTTTCATCTAGAGAAATATGTTACAGTTTACTATTGCTTATTTTCTTACAGTTTCATATATGAAAACAAACAAAGCGTTTTTTCCAAAGTGAATAATTTACGTTGTTTGTGTGGACTTTTGTTTACATTCTGAGTGAATATTATTGAAACTATGCAGAATAATTATATATGAACAGGGCAATGGATATTTAACCTAAATATTTCACTGTCTGAGATAAACTCTTTTAACTTACTTAATAGAATTCTGTGGTAGCAAAGATTTAAAAAGCATACAGAAAAAATGAAGAATCTTTATATCAGTCTTTTGTCCATCCAACTTTCCAAATACATAAACACTTTTCATCAAACAAATAATATGTAAATGTTACTTAACTTTTTTAAAAGGTATATAAGATATTTTTAAACCTTCAAATTTCTAATTTATCCACAATAATACTTAACTTTAACTACAAGTATTTTAGTTACTTACTTTTATATAAAAATACAGGTACTTCTCATGCTTTATAGTACTACTAATACCACCAAACACTGGTAGCAAACAAGCTTTTTTCTTTCTACTTGAACACTTACAAATGAAAGAAGATTAACTCTATTGATTGAAAGAAATACTGGAAAAGTAACACATGGCTATAATGAAAGTTAACACTTTCTTACAGTGAAATTGTATTTCTAATAGTTACTTACCACCTCTCACACAGAGTTATCTTGATCTTCTTTCCCCCTCTCTAAGCATTGCTAAAGAATTTTTATGTTCAGTGCTCAAGACCATATACCTCACCAATTTTGCACCACTATTGAACATGTACATAGCATATGATACTCTCCACCAATAGTATTGCACCACCTGTACTGATGCAGCTACCTCCCTCTATTGTTCCCACTCAATCCTCACTTTCAAGAATTGGCAGGATCTAAAATAATAACACTGGCAGTGGGGAGGAAGGATGAGAAGTGTGTGAGTGGAAATAAAGTACTTATGAGAAATACATTTTCAGTGTAAGAAAATGTTAATTTCTGATACAGTCTTACTTCTTCTCACACAAAGCTAGAACTCCACATTGTTAAGGTGGAGGGGCCGGTGTAGGCACATACCATTGAAACCAAGGAGAAAGCAACTGTCCAGAATGAACAGGTGTGCTATGAAATTAACTGAAGCACACATTTGGGGTACAGAGTGACTTCTGAAACATGTATGCCCTTCACCCTTGAAGAAGGAAATGAACCTCATATGGGTGAAAAAAAAGGAAGTGCACAAGTGTAATTTGTTCTGAGAGGTGCAATCCGTAGCTATGGCAATTAACCACCTCAAATGTACAGACGACGTTCCACAACTCATCCTTGACATTAGGAGTTTAAGAATCAATCAGATAAAAACAAATATAGAGTAACATAAACAATGTGGCTAGTGCATGTGAACCATGTTACAAATACACATGAATCCCAACCATAAGTAAACAGAGTGTCATACGTCAACCAACTAAAGTTGGCATGTGACTGCAACCAGACAAACTCCCAAAACCACCATAAGAGCAAGAAGTACAACAAACCAAACTCGGAACTGCTGGGTCATGTCATTGACTCAACTCAACCATAAAAACAGGGCAATATCTGTAATTGATATTAAGAGCAGAAATTCTTAACTCACCCAGCCATAAATGCTGGGAAGCAACATCCTGTATTTGGAATTATGAGGAGGATACATAACATTCGCTCAACCATAGGAACAGTGTATGTACATCCTGTTACCAGTATAACAAGGCATACAAAATCCCCCAAAACCAACTGTACAAGCAGGGAAGGAACCACTTGCAACCAGAATTAACGTGAAGGGGGGCCTCTACTGCACACAACTGTAGAAAAGGGGAGGGGGTGTCATCCTGAACACAGTATTATGAAGAGGATCACACGTAAGCTGGTCCTGCTCCAACTAACAATTGTCCACCTGGGAATAAGCATCCAGGGGAAATGGAAAGTGGGAAACCAGCTTTACTCTTTTCTCACTGAGTGGATATATGGAAAGTTAAAAGTCTACAATGTACTCAGGAGGAAGCCTCAATGGTCCACCACCCCAGAAACTTTGACATAGAAAGTGGTAAGGACTCCCTTGTTCCAATCAGAAAAAAAAAAGGGGGAGTAAATGTGGTGGGGAGTATGGAGGAACATTACATTGGATAAAGCTCAATAGGTGTCCACAGTTCCCTATTTTGAAATGCAGACTGTCCCCGATTTATTCAATCAAGGGGTCGGCAGAGATTGACAGAAATCCCCTTCTACTTGATAAGACTTACCTAAGTCAAAAACGAATGGACGTGTGTAGAACT